GCCAGCTTGTTCTGCAGATTCTGCTGGGTGTCAAAGAGCATTACTGCAATACCCATCATCCACACACTGACAAAGCAGAAAGAAAGGAAGACCACATGCTAGGTGGATGGACTCAATTGAGGAGGTCACGGATATGAATCTGCAAGAACTTTGAAGAATAGTGGAAGATAGGGAGTCTTTGAGATGTCTCATGCAAAGGGTTGCCATGACCTGAGGCTGACTCGAGGGTGGTTAACAACATCAACAAGGTTGTCATCAAAAATACCACTTTGGGTTTCTACACAGGAAACTCTGATCAGAAGAGATAAAAGAAAAGATGGAAAGTGGGTTACTTACAATGATTTAATTGAATGGGAAAATAATGAGGCTTGTTTTAGATCTCAGGAGGAGTTGGTCAGAGAGGGACTTTCACTGGTATTGCCACAAACAGTTATTGAAAATATTTAAAGTAAATAAGAAATGTTGGGGTTTCATAAAGAAAAAACCAGAGTTTAAACTGAAGTTATGTATGATTGAGAAAATGCATAAGGTGTTACTGAAAATGTAAATGAAGGATGAATAGGTAAAAGACTGTATAGTTATTTGGACCCAGAATTTTGGTTATAAAACTGAGATGGAATATTGAGAGAAAATATGATCAATGGACTTGAGCAGGGATAGGCAACCTTTTTGAGATGGGGGCCGGGTTGCTGTCCCTCAGACAATTGGGGGGCTGAAGCACCAAAATTAATTAATTAATTAATTAAAAATTAAAAAAAAATATATGCATGCACACTCTCTCAGCCCCAGAAAAGCCATGGCAAAGCCCCTGTGGAGATTTTGCCAAGAAAGCCCCAAGAACAAGTAAATAACAACAATAATCAATATCATCATGGTGGGTGGCGGTGGTGGCAGGACTGGCCTGGGGCTGGTCCAAAGGCTTTGGGGAGGCCACATCTGGCCCCCGGGCCTTAGGTTGCCTACCCCTGGACTTGAGTATTGGATGCAAGTGCTCAGTACTTGAAAGAATTACCATCTTACAATATGAGAGTAAACTTTTGTAAGATGATGTTTTGATGCTACTTAACACTAAAGAGATGAAGGTATTTTTTACCATATGTGGCAGTCCTGTGATATTGTTGTTGTTGTAGTATGCCTTCAAATAATTTCCTACTCATGGCAACTCTAAGGTGAATCTGTCATGTTTTATTGCCATGTTTCTTCAGAAGGGGTTTGCCATTCCCACACTCTGAGGCTGAGAGTGTGTGACTTGTCTAAAGTTTCCCAGGGGGGTTCCATGGCTCAGCAGGGATTCAAACCCTGTTCTTCAGGGTCATAGTCCAGTGCGCTAGCCACTACACCACACTGGCTCTCAAAAAGTTACTGAAGACAAATACAACAGTTAATAATTTTATTATTAAATGTAGGGTCGAGACCCAAAATACACAGGCCAAAAGGTGCGCTTCTGGCTGCTTTGGGGGCATGATCCACCTCCAGATTGGCCAGAGGTCACCTAAGACAGCAAAAGGAGTGGTAAAGAATCGCTCCTGCCAGCAGCTTATTTGGGACTGCGGTGGTGACCTGCTTTCAGAGTGGGCCATCCAGTCACTGTGGTCCCCAGCTGATCAGGGGGTCGATTTGGGCTGGAATAGCCAGAGGCTGCTCCAGGCTGTGAGTTTGCTTCGCCCCTGAGTTAAGGCCAATGTTGTTGGGCATATCAAAAGAGAAATTTAAAGATATAAATAAGAAAGTAATGAACTATATGATTATACCAGCAAGACTATTGTTTGCCCAGTACTTGAAAATGGATGTATTATCTTCAGAAGATTAATTGATTATTAATTTTTTTGGCAGAGATGGACAAAGTGGTGATGTAGATCAAAGAAAAGTCATTAGACAACTTTTAAAAAGACTGGGAACTATTTCTGATTTATATGAAGAGGAAAAGGGGAAAAATTATGGTTGCGAGTATTGATTTTTAGAGCATGTTTGATCATTTAAGCCTAAAGTAAGATCAAAATATGATCACATTACTGAGAAATCATATATACTGAGAGTTGGTATTTTCAGATTTGGGAAATGGGATGTCACCTATAGTTTATGTTTATGTTTAGTGAAATTGTGGTTAGGCGTGAATTGTCATGATTTTGTAGGGGGTATTGAGGAGGTGGGGAAGAAATTTAGAATAGTAGGATTTGCAATATATTTAGTCTAGTTTGGGATTATGTATGCATGTAATTTGTTGCCAAGTGATGCATATTTTAAAATTCAATAAAATATTTATTTTAAAAAAGAAAACAAAAACACTCGCAGTTAGATAAAACAAGTCCTTGTAAAAATTACTCTTTGCGAACAACTTCCAGAATTCCCTGGCCATGCTAGGAATTCTGGGAAAAGCAATCCAAAAAGTAATTTCCCAAGCTCACTGATATTAAAAAAAACAACAAAAAACCTCACCAAGAATAGAATCAAAATAACCTTGACAAAAGCAGAAGTTTTCAGGCTGGCTCACTGAGGGCAATCATTACTGAGGATCTATAGCTGTAGCCAGAACTTGGAAATTTTATCTTTTTCAGACTACAGCTTCCGGAACCCCACAGGCAACATGACCCGGGGATATTCTGGGAGCTGTGCAGCCAACAATAACTTTCCAAAATGTTGGATGTTTAAACATTTGAAATAGACCAGGGTTACTGAAATACATATTTCTGCAGTGAGCCCTTGGCATCTGCTGAGGTTTGCTTCAAGAGACCCCCCCCCCCCCGCATGGATACTAAAACCATGGATGCTCAGGTTCATTATATACAATGGTGTAGGAAAATGGCAAAATCCAGGTTTACTTTTTTGGCCTTTTCGTTATTACTCAAAATGTCAGGGTCCAGTGAAGGCACCCACAATTGATATTTAATAGAGGAATTTTATTAGCTCAGTTACAGCAGCTGAAAAAACTGAGGTAACTAAAAGTGGGGATCAAGCCTATACATATCAGTTCCAAGAAAGAGAACTTCAGAATGCAAGATCCAAATGTACTTTTATTTGTAAAAGGGGATCACCACTCACACCAAAGAATGCTCACAAACACACACAAGAATCAATGATATAAAAGGTAGCAGACCAACCATTCCACAGAACCTCACTCTGCTCCTCTGCAATGCC